GAGTAGAAGCCACATTGGAAAAAACTGAACATATGTCTGGGAATGAGATAACAGGAGACGAGTTGCCTAAATAATGAACTTGTGAGAATTTTATTTATTTTAATTGAATTCAATTTAAGTTTTTCAAATTTTTATTTATTTATAGTATTTTTCAGTACGTATTTCTATTGAATTTTTGTGCATTTCATACAATGCATCTTAATAACATTTAGACCTCCTCCCCTTTCTTCCCTCTGTCTATTTCATTTGCTTGCTATGGTATTCTCTCTCTCTCTCTCTCTCTCTCTCTCTCTCTCTCTCTCTCTCCCTCTCCACCCAATTTGCTTCCTTCTTGGAGCAGATTATCACCCCATCCCCCTCCTTACCTACATCCTATTTCTCTGATTCCTTGTTTCTCTTTAACTTGGTTGGAGACACTGAACAATTAAGTTTAGAGCAGTGAACAAGTCAGAAATACAAGACTTGGTATGTTTAATGCTAAGCATAATTCATAAGTTAACTAAATCTTCATAGTTCTGCAAGTGTTGTTATCTACATTGTAAATTTGGGGGAAATGAGAGAAAGGGTTGTTAAATCTTTCCACCATTTACACAGCAAATACACATGGAGATAAGATGTTTGTGTCTTCCCAACCCCACTTTCTCTCTGTCCTGATCCTCCTTCACCTGGATCAGAACACGGGCATTTCTTGAGAACTTGCAGGAAATCAGAAAGCCACAGAGAACTGCTAGGCTGTGATAGGGAGAAGTATGGAGAATATATTTTAATCATCTTGTTCTGATCTCCTAACCCAATACCTCATGTTTATAGGTTACAGAGAGTCATTTATTTGCAATTAGAACCAGCCCCCATCTCCTTGTTACATACATATAGGTTATGGGACAAGAGACAGGACAAAATTGCACAATGAGGTTTATTTCCAGCACCTTCTGCATTAAGTTCCCCTTTGCTTCATTCTAAAGCTGGAGATAAGCCATGAATCCAGTGATATCATTCAGGAAGTGTGTCCCAAAGCTTCACGGAGAACAACACAGCTAGTACCACACCAAGAGCAATGACTTCCCCGGCCTTACTTTCATTCTCTCATTTACGTCTTCAAATAAGCTTTGAGAAGATCTTCCATAAGTCAGTTTGCTGTTTCTTGTCTGATTCTGGGATGAGTTGTTCTAAGAAATCCCTTGAGCATTTTCCACTAAGTCCATTGCATTTAGTTTCTACTAAACTCATTTTATTATATTTCTAAGAGTTTTATTCATTTTATATTTTATCTAGCCAATCTGTAGAAATGAATTACTAACACTAGTGTGTTTTCAAATGTTAAGAAAGAAGAGGGAATGGTACTTACTGTAGAGGTATTATTTTATTATCTCATACTCCTTTTAAATTATGCTTATGTATGTGTGCCTGGGTGGGTATGTTCAAATGAGTATAAGTGACCCACAGAGGCCAGAAAAGAATGTTAGATCCTTGGAACTGGAGTTACAAGGTGTTGTACGCAGCCCAATCTAGGCGCCATGAAGCAAACTCAGGTCCTCTGCAAGAGCAGTATGCTGCAAGCCGTCTCTGAAGCCCTTCTGGGACCTTTCAAACAAGGCCAGACACCCCTGTTAGGACTTTTGATAATGGCATTAAATGCCCTCATATATATTATATGAAACCACTATATAAAGAGGGGTTTTTTTCAGGCCAGGGAAATGGTTCAGGGGGTGAGAACACTTGCTGCACAAATACAAAGGACAGAGTTTGAATCCCAAGCACCCATGTAAGAAATTGGGCATGACTACAAGTACCTATAATGCCAACTCTTGAGGATTAGGGTAGTGAGACAGCAGGATCACTGGGGCCTGATGGCTGCTAGCCTAGTTCCAGGTTCAATGAAAGACCCTCTCTCAAGGGAATAAGCAGAGAATGACAGAGCAGGACATCCATACCTTCTTTGATCCTCTGAAAAGGCATGCACAACTACATACATGTATACATACACCACACACATACATCCTGCACACATATTACAAAAAGGGGTTTTTTATTTTAATTTCTAAAAATGGAAATATTTCTTTTTTATATATTTTTTATTTATTTATTTTTTGTGTATGAGTGTATTACCTGCATGTGTATAAGTGCACCTGTGTTGTGCAATGCCCTCAGAGGTAAGGACATTTTGTGGGATCCCCTGAAACAGGAGTTACAGACAATTGTTAGCCACCATGTGGGTGCTGGGAATCAAACCCGGGTCCTCTGAAACAGCAGTCAGTGCTCTTAACCACTGAGCCATCTCTCTATCCCTGAAAGATTTCTTGTTTAGACTGAAAAGCATTACATTTTATTGCAAAAGAATTGAAAAAAATTTAATTATAGCAGTTTTTCAATTATCTTTTCCAGAGAGATGAAAGAGCGACTATCAGGTTGAATATTCAATTAAACCAGAATGACAGTTAAATGTACATAGTGCCTATTCTGTTTTCTCTTTTCTAGTATTTTTAATGGTTCTGCGATTGAATTTAGAGCCTTGAACACTCTGCCACTGAGCTACAAATTCAGGTCTCCTCTTGTCCAAACATTCTTTAAGTATCTTTGTCTGTAGCCTTTCATCATTCCTGTTTAAAACCATAAGAATTAAGACTGGGTATGCTAGTGCACACTTGCAATCCCAACACTGGGAGGCAGAAGCAGGAGGATTAGGAGTTCAAGGTATTCCTTTGCTATATAGCAAATTCAAGGCCAGCCTGGACTACAGGAGAGCTTGTCTCAGAATATACAACCAAAATTGACACAGATGTGAAAAGATGAAAGAGATAAAATCATTTTGAGCAGTGCCCAATTTTTATTCTGGGTTTATGGTATTTAATTTTTATTTGAAAAAAATTAAGATATAATTTATATAGTATTGCAATAACTTTTAAAGTGTATATTTTGTCTTCTCTTTGTCAATTAGAAACTCATTTCTGGGCTTTCCCTCAAACTTATACTTGTTTAGTTTCAAAGACAACATCTTTGACTGCACCCCACTGTCTATGCCTCTGTTGTCATGAGTCAGGATTTCTTCTGGATGTTAAACACTGTGAGTGTGAAAAGAGACTATGATATAGGGTCCCAAGGCACAACTAGTCAGCAGTTACTTTAGTTCCATAGGGAGGATGGAGGCTGCATCCCCAGGCTCTGTGTGAGAAAGGAGCCTCTGGAATGGTCCGCTTGTCCACAAGTTATTTCTAAGCGAAATAATCTCTGCAATTATATTTGGGGCTAACTTTCGAGGTTGGGAATGTGAAGTGTCTGAAACTACAACAATGCAGCTTTCTTCCTGACGCCCAGGCACCATGGTCTCTGCATGGAAAAATGGTTTACTTAATGGTGTTATCTACCAAGGGCTTTCTTGTCTCTTCAGGAGACGAGGGGCTTATCTCAGGATAAAAGTCAAGAACCACTCTAGGACCTGTAGGCAAACCATTATTCATGAGTTAGTAAACCAATCATGGAAATACACTCTTCAAAAGCTTACTTTGGGGGCTGATGAGATGGCTCAGTAGTTAAGAGCACTGACCCCAGTTTGAATCCCAGCACCCACATGGTGGCTAACAACCAACTGTAACTCCAGTACTAGGGGATCTGATGCCCTTTTCTGACCTCTGAGGGCATTGCATGACACGGGTGCACTTAGATACATACAGACAATACACTCATACACATAAAATAAAAATAAATATATATATTTTAAAAAAGTATACTTTGCTGGTATGGAGCCTAGAGAAAATGTATCTGTTCCATGGGTCTAACCAACTCTAATCTGATACAATTTCTTTGGGGTGGGGCTTTTTTCCCAAATTTAATAACCACATGATTAGAAGAACCAATTCATGCAGGTTTAACATATTCAATAATAATTTCCAGAGCAAAGACACATCTCTTCCAAAAGTGGCTATAAATTTTTAGGTTCAAAGTTGAATACAGTCATACTGTAAACTCTACATATAAACTCTATAAGACATAAAACTGAATGAGCTTTTAGCCTTTAAAAAAGATCTCCATTTCATTTTAAAATATACTGTTTCCTACAGAAAGGCTCATGTTTAATGTCTGGCTTCGCTTGGAAGCATGGAGGAAATGATTCCTCTGTGTTTACCCTCTTTGTAGACTGGACACTGGTTCAAGTCCATCTGGTGGCGTCTCCACAGCCTCCTTGATCAATTTCTTAACTTTTATCAGTTACAGATGTGAGGAGCAGTGATGCTGAAGTAGAGACGACATTACTCAGTTCTGCTGAGCTGGAAGTAAGCACCTGATTGTCAATGGGACCAAGAGAAAAAGACCCAACCTTAGGACACTGAAGGCCACTAGTTGATCAGGCAGTTCATTGTCTTCTCTCTTCCCTCCCTCCCTCCCTCCCTCTCTCTCTCCTTCCCTCACCACTCCTTTCACTTCCACTCTTCTGTCTCATATTCATCCCTCCCTCCCTCCCTCTCTCCTTCCCTCCCTCCCTCCTTCCCTTCCTTCCTTTCTTCCAGGAAACTTTCTTCCACTACACCTCAATTACAGTCAATGTTTGCACCACAATCATCAAAGTGTTTTTAAAATCTCTCTCGTTATCCTCAAATTTCATTCCTGATTAGTCAACTATTGCCCTCCAGTGACTCTTCATATAAACTGAGAGTTCCAATCTCTTGAATCACTTAACATTTTCAGTCTTCATCCATGCCGTTTACACGCTTAGTCTTCTTCAGAAGAGCAAAACACCTCAAACAAAATAAAACAATAGGAACTCATAGCCCATGTCAGAAGGGGAAGAATGATCAATATGGGTAATTAAGTGATAACACATAACACTTAATAGATTCAAGTTTTTACTCTCTCTGGACCAACAATCAATGAAATTTGGATTCTAGGCTATTGAGGAAATAATTTATTTGAAAGGGAAAGGGAAGGTACCAAATAGTTTGGGTATAGAAGAGGAGGTTTTATTACTTTTCTTTCTCACATTTTAGGGGAAGAGTCACTACATAGCTATGGGAAACTTCAGTGCTGTCTCTGAGTTCATCCTCCTTGGACTGTCTGCTGATGCCCAGGTCCAAGCTGTTCTCTTTGTGCTGTTCCTTGTGATCTACCTCCTGACCCTGACAGGGAACTCTATGATGCTGCTAGTGGTGATGGCCGATGCTTGCCTCCATTCACCTATGTACTTCTTTCTGGGTCACCTCTCTTTCCTAGATCTCTGCCATTCGTCAGTGTCTGTACCCAAGATGCTAGAAAATTTCATGTCAAAGACCAAAACAATCCCTGTGGGGGGTTGTCTGGCCCAGGCCTTCTTTGTGTTTGCCACAGGGGGCACTGAGGCATTACTTCTGGCAGTCATGGCCTATGACCGCTATGCAGCCATTTGCCACCCTCTGCTCTATGGCCAGATGATGAACAATCGGCTCTGTGAGGGACTCGTGTGGGGCTCGTGGGGCCTGGCCATAGTGGATGCACTCATCAACACGCTCCCAGCTGTGAATTTGGACTTCTGTGACCATAGAACCGTACACCACTACAATTGTGAGCTTCCATCCCTCTTCCTTCTATCCTGCTCTGACGTCTCCACCAACATTACTGTCTTGACCTGGTCTTTTGTTATACATGCCTTTGGCACCTTTCTCCTGGTCTTTTCTTCCTATGGTTGTATTGTCTCTACCATCCTGAGCATCAGCTCCACCACTGGCAGAAGCAAGGCCTTCTCCACCTGTTCCTCGCATCTCACTGTTGTGATCTTGTATTTTGGCTCATCCTGCCTACGCTATCTCCTGCCAGCCTCTGGTTCTCCCTGGGAGTTAATCTTTTCTTTGCAGTATAGTGTCATCACCCCCATGCTGAATCCTCTCATCTATAGCCTGAAGAACAAGGAAGTAAAGGCAGCTATGAAGAAAATGTTTGGAAAATACTGCCAGTGATTTAAATAGTTGGTCATAGTCATGGGGTCAAAAAAACACTTGAGGGAACTGAAGTCAAGATATGGAGGTGATGAAGTACAAATCCCACTAAATTCAGGTGATACTGAGTAATGCTCCTTCCTTTGGTGGCCTGAACATTAATCCTGTTCAGAGACAAAGCATTAAATCATCCAACTCTTTTGATGACTTTAATATAGAACAGATGTATTTGTTATTTTTCTTGTAGAGAACATTTTTTGCTTTGCTGACTTTTGTTTAGTAACAGGACCCTTTTTCCTTTGGATGGAATTTCACTGTCCCATTATATATACATCAATATCACTGTCTGCTACTGTAACCCAGTGGGCTGGTCATTCTGTCACAGCCTCAGTGACTGGTCCAAAAGTATGATCAACTAATTGCAAAAAATGGCTCAAATTCTCTACCTTCTCCTGGATGTATAATCTTTGCAATGTGAGTTCACAGCTTTCCTCATTAAGAGGTCTATTTTACTGTTCCTTGACTGGGATTAAGGCACCTGGCTGCCCTGACTCTTTTAATAAGCACTACCTTTTAAATAAGCACTACTGAAGCATTACTTACATATAATTCACCAATTTTAAATGTAGAACTTGATCATTTCTTTATTTCAATGTTTTTATATATTCGTTGTACATAATGATGGGTTTCATATAGGCATTTTAGACAAATGCATGTAGCAGCAGCAGTCACCACTGTTGTCATGTTACAGAACATTTCTACCAGGACAAGAAGTTCCCTGCGGCCTTTTTGCCATGAATCTCCTTTTGTCCACTGTCCCTTGGTAATCACAGCTCACCTTCAATGACTGTCATTTTGCCTTTCCTGGAATTTCATATGTGGAATCATAATATAAGGCTGTTCTTGGTGTCAGGTTTCTTTCCCTCAGCTTAATAATGCTGATATATCCATCTAACCTGTCATTCACATATATGAGGAGAAGCCTTTGTGAACTTACATGTGATCATCTTTCTGAGTAAATACCGAGGAATAGAATTTTTATGCCATATTATATTTAACTTTAGAAGAAACTGTCTTACTATGGTAGGGGCGGACAGCCTGAGAGTTCCAGATCTGGCCTTTGCCTAGTGTAGGGGCTGAGAACTCAACAGACTGCCTGAGAGTGCCAAAATCAGGCTGCCCTGTAGTGAACTTCCCAAATTGTGATCTGAGTACCCACTAGTAGGGGTCCAAATGGTAGAAGGAAACCTGAGTGTACCTGACTGGAGCCTGACTTGGGCCTCTGTGGAAGCTCCTGAGTAGCTGATCTTAAGCTGCCAGTTCCCTCCAAAATAAAATCTGAGATAACCTGAAACCTAGACCAAGCAGCTGTGCACACCCAATAAGAAAACAACCAAGGCACACCAATAATACAAACAGAAGCAGACTTCAGCTCAACAAAGGAAAGCTTGAGTTTCATACCAGAATCACAAACAACAAAAGAAATCCACATGCCAAAATCACAATGAAAAATGATAACAGGGAAAACGTAAAAACCATGTTCCCCTCAAACTCCACGAGTCCTGTAGAAGAGTTCTACAAGAAGAACCCCCTAGAGATAACCCAGGACACAGAATTTAAAAGAACAATCATAAACATGATCAAGGAATTCAACGAATTTAAAGAACACACAAACAAATCAAAGAACTGAAAGAAGACAGGGATAAACTGACTGAATTCATAAGAGATATAAACATTGAAGAAAACACAAGCTGAAATGAAGAGGGCAGTAAAAAAACTCAATAATCCAATTTGAAACAGCAAGAGAAAGCCTCACTGCTAGAATGAATGAAATGGAAAACAGAATATCAACACTGGAGGATAAAGTTGAAGAATTGAACCGCTCAAGCAAAGATTATAAAAAAATTTAAAAAACACAGGAATGGAATAGGCAGGAGATGTGGGACACCATGAAAAGATCAAATCTACATATCATAAGCATAGAGGAAGGAGAAGTATTTCAGGTTAATGTTATTGACCAGATCTTAAAGACATCCCCATACAAATACAAGAAGCACATAGACTACCAAATAGACAGGACCAAGAGAAACTCCCCACCACATATCATGGTAAAAACATTAAGTGTAAGGAACAAAGAGAACAAACTGAAATCTGTAAGAGACAAAAAACAACTCACATACAAAGGAAAACCCATCAGAATAACAGCTGACTTGTCAATGCAAACTATGAAAGCCAGAAGAGATTGGACCAAAGTATTTCCACTTCTAAACAATAGATGCCAACCCAGAATATTTTACCTAGCAGAGATGTCTATTATAGTTGAAGGGGAAAGAAAAGTCTTCCATGACGTGAATAGGCTGAAAGAATACATGGCCACAAAACAAGCCCTTCAAAAATACTTGGAGCAATACAAAGAATGGAGAAGGGAACAATTATACCCCAGGGGCAACAGAAAGAAACTAAATGAAGGTATAATTGTGGAACACAAAATTAGCAAAGAATGCAAACACAAAATGATGGCAACCAATACACATCTTACAATTACACCTTTAAATATCAGTGAACTGAACTTCTCAGTCAAAAGACACAGGCTAGTTGAATGGATTAAGAAACAAAATCCAACTTTTATGTTGTCTGCAAGAAATCCATCTCACCTTCAAGGAGAAGCACTACCTTAAGGTGAAAAGATGGAAAAGAATATTGCAAGCAAATGGCATTAAAAAACAAGCAAGGGTTGCAATTCTAATATCTGACAAAATAGACTTCAAACTAAAACTAATTAGAAGAGATAAAGAGGGTCACTTCATTCCAATCAAAGGAACAATTAACTGAAAAGATATTACAACCCTGATCATATGTGCACCAAATTCTGGTGCACCAAAATTCATAAAAACAACACTACAGGACTTTAAGACACAGATTAACCCCAACTCAGTAATAATAGGGGACTTCAATAACCTACTCTTTCCTTTAGACAGGTCAGTTGGACAAAAAAATAGAGAGACATCTGACTTAAATGATACCATACTTCAAATGGACCTAACACACATCTACCGAGTATTCCACCCAAGCACCAAATAATACAGTTTCTATTCAGCACCTCATGGAACTTTCTCAAAAATTGACCACATACTGGGGCACAAAACAAATCTTCAGCAAATACAAAAAGATTGAAATAATTCCATGCATTCTATCAGACCATAATGCAATTAAGCTTAAAATCAACACAGGAAGAAACCCTAGTCACTACACAGACTCATGGAGATTAAACAACACACTCCAGAATGATGAGTGGGTCAAAGGAAAATTAAGAAAGAAAAATATTCATGGACTTCAATGAGAAAGACAATACAACACAACATGGGACACTT